AATTTAATAATATGTATTAGGCTTGCTTTAGAGTCTTGTTGGTATTTTAAGTAGACGAGGACATACTGAATTCTCTTTGACACTATTTAGTTTCGATTTAGGTCGGAATGTTTGGGAAAGTCTGTGACAGCTTATATATTTTGTCATTTAATCATCAAGCAGAATATATACAGTTTGGTAAGGGATGTAATTTTAGTATGTAATTTCAATTTCAGTTCTCTAAATGTGTGCAAGTTCGAAACCAAATTTAATAAAAATTATAAATTGAATATAATAATTTTTAATTTCTTTTCGTAATACCAATACATTCCAATGTTTACATATCTATTTATTAATCTTTTTAATAGTGGCTTGATATAATAAAGATCACTAATCGTAGAAATGTTAGAACCCAGTTTTGATGAATATATAATATACATTCTAGGGGTGCTCTAACATAGAAAGCAAGGTTTTTTAAAAATTCATTTATTAAAGTTTTTACCTTGACGTTTGATTAGAACTTTTATCCAACGATCATTCATTTTTGACGTTGTCACTTTTATCTCAATAAATAGAACCACGACTTTTTCGGTTAAAGGCAAAGTTTCACTTTCTTTAAAAAAGTTTCATAAATTAATTTTGATATCTCTTTGGTCAGCTAAGTGTGATGGTGGATATATTATGAAAGTGAACAGCTTCCACTTTGCTTTGCTTAAAATGTGGAATAGGTCATTAGAAGTGTTTGAGAAATTATTTTTTTTGTTCAAGTTCAGCAATAGATCGATAAGATTTCTCACACTCTTATTTTTATTCGATCATTATCCAATATTAGTTAAAGTAGGTTTTCTGTGTTTTCATCAAGAAATGTTAATATTGACTTCCCAGAATGACTTTTACTACCTGAGTTGGCAAGATCATGCTTAAAATAACCCAGCAATGTTTCTGCTACGGAGTCTTATTAGATTTGATCATGTTTACAATAAATTTGTAACGGTTAATGAAGAAGATTTTAAATATGATGCAAATAATAAAATAGGTTGATTATTTCACGAGTGATTTCCAAAGAATTATACAAAAATTAAAAAATAATTTTTTGAATAAAATATTTGATTGTAGCTCAGACACATGTGTATTCGTTCTCCATAGAGTGGTCAGTGTTTTTCTCGTTTTTAAGTTCCTTTAATAAAGTTTTAAACATTAAAAATCTTAATTTTTAACGAGTGATTCCCAAAGAATTATATAAAAAATCAAAAAAATATGTTAGGAATGAAATATTTGATTGTAGGTCAGACACAGAAGTTTTCGAACACCGTATGTGTATTCGTCCCCATAGCGTGGTGAGTGTTTTTCTCGTTTTTAAGTTCCTTTAAAACTTCAAAGAATACAAATCCTAATTGTCAAAATTTTATTTTTAAATATGTAAATATAATTTTTAAAATATTTAAATAGAAAATAATACTAATTATGCAAAATACTCATTAAAATAGCACTTTTGTAAAAATAGAATTTATTATTCATAATGAGTGCGGTGGGTTTTTCTCTTCAGAATTTTTCTAGAAAACTCAGATTTATTTCAATAATCTAATATACTAATAAGGGGGAAAAAATTCGTAATGTATAAAAAAAACCATATGAGCAATATTAATGTTTACTATCGTGATTGCCATTTAATTAATATTGTTCCTAAAGCATAATTCAAATAAAATGATTTATAATAAAAAATTTTAATTTTTAATTAATTAATTTTGTGGTTGATAATATAGCTATTTCGACTATTTTTAGATACTCATTATTAATAAGATTTGGAAATATTCATTGGTTTTATAAATCCGAATATCATTGTTGAACTACAATTGCCATGCTTAGTATTTTAAACCTGTTCAATTTAAAGCAAAGAAGTTTTAACCAGAAACGTGAAATTTGACTGACGAAAGTTTCGTTCGGTTAAAATACGTGAAGTCATTGCTTCTAAATTGGCAGGCTCAATGCTGTGCATTTGTAGTCCATAAAATTATATGTGGATTAATCAACCAATGTGCTGCTTCTAAAGACTATTGATGTTTATTATTTAGCAGTATTCGAAACAGTTGTATGGTAAGCCAAAAAAACTAAAATAAATAAAATTCAAATTTTACCATTATTCAAAAACCTTTTTAAAATTAATTATTCTTTAAAATATTATCAAAATTTAAAATTTTATTTGTGTACTGAAACATTCTTTAAAACTTACCAGATCGATTAATTGCGACAACCTTAAGCCAAGTTTAACGAGGACGGTGTGGTTATTATTACTAACAGGACGTATCAAACGATTGTAGTTGCTAAGTAAATCGTCATATAAACGTTTCGCATCTGGATTAGCATTGACGGTTTCGCATAACAAAGTCATAAGTAAGAAAATATAAAATAATTTCATAAAACGACTAATGCAGCTTGAAATTGGGGGCATCATTTTTGTTTAATTTTAACAGCTTAAGGTATAATTTCGGAAAACAGTTCTAAAAAGTCACTGTTGCGCTTGTGACGTAGTATGAGCTTAACCTACGTCACTCCACAAAATTATTTACGTCACACCTATTTTTATAAACGTCACAACGTAGTAAAATGTAGTAAAAATTGCTAAAAATAAGTGTTTTTTATAAATAATTTAGAAAGCCGCTCTGTGTCCTTGATATGCCTTAGAAGTGTTTTTAATTGTTTTTATACGTAGCCGGTAATTTATTTACAAACACATGCAACGTGTTTTTGTTTATTTTAGTACGATGTTTCTTTGTTTTTATTGCGAACTTTTTTGCCGTGTTTTAGTACTCGTGTGCTAAAAACACAGCCGTAAAAGTCTCCAAACACTTGACAGAACGAAAAGCTTTACGACACTTGTCAAGTAACATTTGACATATGTGCACTTTTAGTACTTATTTCGCCAGCTGGGTGTGGGCGTGTGACGCGGGTAGCGGCGGTATGCAGGCTATGAAGGCAAATCCTGTGCAGCTGTTACCGCTGATTTTGTACTAATTGTGTGTCATTGACTTAAGTACTTTTTACATTTTGTTTTCACATTTTATTACTAATTATAATTCTTGTTTATATCATTTTATTTAAATTGTTAATAATTTATTTTACATAACAAAACAAAAATTGTTGCACAAATATCATTAATAGGTTAAAATAATTCTCTAAAGTCACTGCTTAATATTCCACAAATTTACGTCAACAAAACGTTAGTTAGCACTTCGTAGCATGAATTCTCCGATGTCCTGTGCGAAAAATCACAAGAAACGTACTGACGCAAATATTGTTTTTGTAGCGACGAGTATCTGCCGCTGACGAAAATTTGTTAGGGCAGTGAGGCATCATATTTTGTGAATATCTCATCCAAACGAGAGCAAAGCTTTGTAGCTTTGTAGCTGCAGCTTCCATTTGGCATTTGAGCAATCTGTAGTTTCGCAGATGAACCGAACCATGCGCTCTATTAAAACATTGAGCCACCCTTTTTTATATTTATTATGTTAAACAGTGTAGAGTTAGTTAACTGTTATTAACTAGTAAGATAAAAATATTTGAAAGATATTTTAATTTTGTTACAAGAATTTATATATATAAGAAATTTCATAGACAATATATAAGTTCCTTTAACAGAAATTATGTTCGTTTGTGGCACTTACATTAATGATACTCTTATTTACACTCTTATTTGTGGCTCTTTAACTACATACAATTATTGTACCAGTAAGTACTTTCAGAAAAAAGTTTTCCAAACAAGCCAGAGATTGTCTACTACTTGAACTTACTCTACACTTTCGCATCCTGAAGTTCATTCTTTTTTTTTTTGACTTTAAACGGAGTACAACATGCTAAATTTGAAGCTCTCACGAGCCACAGCCCAAAAAATAAGTTTGTGTACATTTATGCCTCCGCTTATCTTTGCGGTTCTCGTCCACAACAAGCAGCATGGATTGAAGTCGTTTTTCATATTCGGTTTCTGAAGTGTTACGATAGTTCTCCATGGCCTTTGGAAGAAAACGAATTGAGTTCTACACGTGCACTACTGTGCCAGTTTTTTCCACCTGTATAAAGGCGCACAACCACACAAACTTGAGTAAAACTCAATGTTGTGGTATGCTTAACAGTGATGCTACTGATAAGTGTTCTACTGTAGTTATTGTTGCTGTTGTTGTTTACAGGTGTTGACAATTGTTGGAGTGTTGTTGCAGTATTTTCTTTTTACATACCTTTGATTGCCTCCATTGTTTTGCTTCAAACACACTCCGACAACCGTCAGCACACAAGGATATCTAATTGCTTACGCATATTTGCAATATAGGCAATTTTTTTCTAGTGAAAGTTGAAGTTGAAGCCAAAGACTTTGAAGTAATGGGAAATTGAATACACATGTGTCAATAAAATGAGAGTTAACAAAAAAGGAAGATATTAAAGGTTTCTTTAATGTCAGTCAATAAAAGCTTTAGACTATTTAATATTTTTGTTGTGTTTGCACCATTAATTATTTTTTAACAAATGTTTTGTTTAGTTTTTTTACTGTTTAATATTTAATGTCCAGTATTTTTAGTATTAGTCAAAATTTAAGTAAACAATTTGCAACGATTTTTAGTACATTATTTATTTAACAGCTTTATTCTAGACTATTTCTCTGATATCGGAGTTTGAACACTTGTAGAATCTTTAGAAAATCCAAAAGAATAATTTATCTCTAAAGTTTGAAATCAAATTATTTTCATTATTATTTTGCTGGCTTAAATAGTTTAATTCTAAATGGGTCAAGCACGCGTTTATATTATTTAACTCGTTACCGGATTTCGGGCTAACGTTACATGTGTCTCCAGGGGTTTCTGCTGTGTGAGCATCTTATGCAGTCTCCTACACCAAGTCCGGTTAATGCTCTCTTAATTTGATCACCCTACCGTAGACACGGTTTATCTTTACGCCTTCTTCCTCCAACTACCTTTTCAAATACATATTTCGCTGGTGCGTCTTTATCTATTTTTACTGCATGACCAGGTAATCAATGTCAATGAATTGTATCAATGTCGTGAAAAAGCTTGTACAGCTCGTCATTTTTTCGAATGTAGTAGTCATCATCAACTCGTAGAGGACCAAAGATCTTACGAAGAACATTTCTCTCGAAGTAATGCTGTTACATATATTTGACTTTTATTAATTGTGTATTTATAATCACACCGGCATCAGTCATACTTGATTGAAGTAGCTCACAATGAAGTAATGATTACAGTGAATTATTATATTATTGCTCTAAGTCAGTGGTTTCCAACCGGTGGTCCACGGGTGGCTAAAAATTGTCCGTGAATTAAATTTAGCATAGTTTAAATATGTATATATTTAGCATGCAGTTTGTCCACTGAGACATTACTTAGAAAATAAGCATAAAAAATTTCCAAGTAAATAATTAAACAAAAATATCAAAGTGGTATTTGGTCAAAAAAAGGGTGGGGTCCACTGTTCTAAGTGGTTTGATCATGAAACCAAAACATTTACCATAATAAGTAATGCATTCACAACGAATAGTAGTACATTTAACAACAATTAGAAAGTAAGTGGTACTATTTATTTATTAATTTATACAGTTATAGAAATGTACATATACATACTACACAGTACATACTATACAATAGATTGATTTAGACAGTCGAGAATATCATTGAAAAAATGACAGAACTAGCAGAAAATTTGAACAAAATCACACAATTTATAGGAAATGTGTTAAGGGAATAGTGGAATGACCTGGACGTAAATTAACCTAAAACGAAGAGCAATCTGTAGACTTTCCAATTCGGGGTATTTTAATTTGTATATTACACAGTAGGACTCGGACACACCATACCGGTGACGGTCCGTTTGACAGTGCCTAAAGCATTCCACCTCCTCCCCACCAACAAAAAAATTAAAGCTAATAATCAAAATTTATTATATTATACACATTACCACTAATAGTAGTAGTAATGCTACCTGTTGACTATAACAATATATTGTATATAGAGATCACAGTTATGGTACTTTCATGGTTTATAATAGACTTGGAATAATATGCTTAGTACTATTAATATTGTAATATAATATGAAATATTATGTGATATTTTTAAAATTTTAATTTAATTGATTTCTAAAAACTGCCATTTATTTATATCTTCCCCTCAGTTAAATTAATTTTAATAAATGTAGCTTTCCGAAGTATAACATTCGAACTTCTTCCAATGTTGGGTACTAACATTATCTTTTACTTTAAGGTAACATAGCATAAACTTCGAAACCTGTTTTACTGGTTCTCATAAGAAACGTGCCACAAACTTAAATCTCTGCGTGGGTTCAGAAGATTGTTTAAATCATTTCTATGTCATATCGGTTATAAGAATAATTGTTGACGTCATGATTAAAATGCATTTTCTGCAAATATCTTAAGAATTACTATTCCTTGTTTCTCCATTAAATGCTTTGCTATCTATAAATATGTTCAACAGCTCCTAGTTTCCGTCATTTCACAAGTTGATAGTCTCATTTAGTTTGGATGCCGAGACATCATTTTTTCTCAAAATAATTGATTTTCAAAATTGATTGCTGCATCAATTTTAAATCAGAAATACATTTTTCTTTAAAGAACAATCCAGATTTTTAAATAATGATTGCTGCTTTAATAAAAGTGATAGGGTAATTTAATTTGGTGTTAACTAAATTACTTAATGAAATAATTGGAGTCAATGGGCATTTATGCTGCCATGAATAATTAATTTAATCTTTATAAATGTATTTTACGCGATAACTTATTAAATAATGATTGACCATTTCATTCACTGGGTTGAGGTAAAATTTATCAATATGTTTGCTTGCAACAAAATAGATGTAAGAGCAAATTATAGTACATAACATATATACTTCAAACAAAGTATTAAGTTTTAATATTAATAAATGTTTAATGTATAACCCTTCATATACATTTCGTCGATGAGTGGACAACATTATTTTAGTGCCTAACTTATGCCACAAAATATTTAT